GACCGTCTACAATAGACTGTATATAAGGAGAGCGGCTCGGGAGCGCGCATGCACGTCACATCCGTTGGATTTCGCGGTAAATCCGACCCGGAGACTTCACATAGAAATGGGAATACTGGCCTTCAGAGGTAATAGCAAAACCCGACAAGTGGATCATTTTAATGTGTGATTACAACCCCTTCACACACAGGCAATAAAAAAAAGGTTTATTTTAGAAGAAAAGTTCCATATAGCACCTTTAAGGCAGCAACTTTTTTTTTTTTTTTTTTTACAATGTATGAAAGCAAACTAGGGCTGGTACCAATTTGCATACTTATAGACTTGAAGTATGTATTTCCCATATTTTGGCTGTGTAAAAAGAATGTTTGCAGGGATAAAGACACTTTTGTGTACCGTTTGCATTCGCATGTAAGCATCTTGTATTACAATCCATCTAAGGTCAACAACAACAGAAACCATTTTCAAGAAAAATCTCAAGGAAAAATTGCTAATAGCATATGATTGTTGAACATTTCGTAATTGTTATACTTGTGCTGGGATCGTCTGTTTGTTGTAGTGTTTATTTCATGTCGTTGTTTGTCTATTTTGTGTCTATGGTATATTGAGTTTTTGGTTTGTTATGTTGTGCGTTCATGTTATCGGGCCCCCTCCCAATAAGCTTTTAGTAGCTTCTTTGGGGTTCCCTTTCACACGACCTATATATGTCCACTGTTTCTTCTGAAATTGTGTGTAAATGATGATATAATGATGACGTGTGAAATAAACGAAACGAAACGAAATGAAGGTTCAGCCTCAAGTTTACACCTGAAAAAGAAAGTTTTCCTCTTCTTTACTGCTGGCAAACTTGTCTAAATGTATGTAGCTGTGCACTCTTTGAAAATCACCACCGGAAAGGTTATATGATCCAGATCCTTTAGCATGCTGTTTTCAATGTACTATACATTCTAAACAATGCTGGGTTGTTTTAACCCAAATTTGGGTCAAATGTGGACAAACCGAAATGTTGGGTAAAAAATGTAATTTAAAATTTTAACCCAACTTCAACTTTCACTTTCAACTGTACATTTTTTAATTACATTTTTAACCCAACATTTGGGTTTGTCCATATTTGACCCAAATTTGGGTTGAAACAACCCAGCATTTTTTAGAGTGTAACTGGGGCTTGTTCATTTTCATCTTGCATAGTATTTAGGTATTAGATAGATAATATGTGAATTGTACGTCCCCTGGTATAATGCACAGTTGATAGATTTTTTGGTAATAACAGAAATGTTCTGCTTTTGTCACGTTGCATCAAATACATTTAGTGTAGTATGTATAAAAATAAAATACGTATTGTTGTTTTATTATTGTACATATTATAGTATGTCGAAAAATAAAACTAATATACACTTAAAATAGATAATACGGATTAAAAAGAGCAAATTTTGGAAATAACATTAATAATAATACTACAGAAAATTGTAGTGCATGTGTCTATAACCAAGTTTACCATGGTAGTTTACATTAAAATATCAGTTTTCACAGTTATTGTTACAACAATAAAAGTGTGGCAATGTGGTATTATAGGCTTCTATTTGAAGGACATCATGTTAATGTATTACGTTTTACAGTTCTTATGTTTATTTGTTAATATCTCATTTGTACAATTCTCTAGCCTCAAGACTACAGTATATGAAATCCATGCCATCATGTTCATGACAATAATCATTGTGAAGTGGAATTTTACAGCTCAAAATTAAACACGCATTTCCCAGCACAAACACAAGCCAATCAGGTTAATGTTAAAACGCAAGCCCAGTTTAAGCACCAGTGGTGTCTTGGGTTGGCCGGCGTAAAGCTGCTCTCATCTTTTTAATGGTGTGCTCTTATGAGACAGCTGTGGAGGGGGTTCTGGGATGTGTGGATGTTAGATGTTAATTTGTGCCGTAATAGCTTTTCTCGGCGGAATTGCAAATTCTCTTAAATGTCACTTGCAGCTTCGTAGCTCAGACAGCCAGGGTCCGTGTGGATACTAGCGCTCTCTCTCTCTCTCTCTCTCTCTCTCTCTCTCTCTCTGTATCGTGCTACTTTTAATTTGCAGTAATACAGTAGCGCTGTCAGATTAATGGCTGGTGTGACACCTGTGCTCTCTCAGCTCCGCCGTGTACATAACGCGTGTCACAGCACATTATCTCTCTGCTGGGCTGGTAATGGGCCCTGCGTCTGAGGCCGCACTGGAGGAACTGCATACACCGCTGGCCTCTCTTGGCATGCGTACCGCCACAACCGGGGCACAAAAACACACTCCTTATACCACTAGAAGATCTATTATGTTGCTTCTGACAGCGCGCCGTTTAAAATCTCACTGTGGTTTTCTGAGAAAACAGTTGTTTGTGTTTGTGTGGTGTTTTAAGAAACTGTTCAAAGCACCCACAGGATCGACTTTACTTTCTTAATGCACATTCATGCATGTTATCACATTACTGAAGTAAAATGCACTGTAAAAAAATATTTTTTCAAAGTTGTACATAAAACAAAGATTATTGTTTTGCAAGTAAATACTATTTCAGTTTTTCTACTCCCTAGTTTCAAGTTCAATTCAATGTTACTTGACGTTTCTTAAATGATTTACTTATTTTACTATTACTTATTTTGTTTTAGTGTATTTGGAAACAGCAATGCATGTTGACTTTAAAAATGCAGCATTATCTTTCTAAGTACACTGAAACCAAAATGGTGTAGAAACAATTTGGAAACAATTTTTACACAAGAAATTTGGTGTAGAAAAAAATTGCTAGTAAATTTCACAGATAACTACAAAGAAACAGTAAGTAACACATTAAATTAAACATGAAATTGTGAAGTAGTATTTGTTTTGTTTTTTTGTACACCAATAATGTTTCTTTTGTTTACAACTTTGAAAAATTATTTGTCCCCAGTGTATTATGGGATTTAAGATTCTATATTTACTACATTTTGCTACAGGGAATGTATTGTTTTAGAAGCATAGTTAGCAGGCAACTGTGTGTGTGTGTGTGTGTGTGTGTGTGTGTGTGTGTGTGTGTGTGTGTGTGTGTGTGTGTGTGTATGTGTGTGTGGCTGCAGGTTGCTCTGGCAAAGATAAAGTACATTGTGGATTCCAGGTGTCTACAGTCCATGAGCTATGTGTGTGTGTGTGTGTGTGTGTGTGTGTGTGTGCATCACATGACCGTTTGTGAAGTTATACATAACATACACTGCCCTCCACCTCTCCTCTTTCTCTCTCCTCCACCTCTTCATCCCCAGCGCTTAAATCAAGAAAATGGCCACACATCAAGAGGATCATTTGGGCCTGAGAACAACCCCCAAAACAGTCAATCATCTTAAAGAGACTCACACACACACACACAGATCTGAAGTCTCCCATCATTCCTGTTGATGTCACCCCTGCGCCCTTGCAGTGTCTGACAGCAAGAAAACCAATGAACCCCAATGCAACACAATGACTGTGTGTAACGCGCTCTAATCACAAGAACGACTCTTCTATGAGCAGCGGATCACATGGACACTGACTGCCAAACACACCGCATCGGTTACATGTCCAGTTGCACGGTTGGCACACACACACACACAGACCTGCATGCTGCTATCTTTGCTTTGCTTTTTAGGTAATCACCTATTGCCATAGTCATTTATGCCATAAATAATCTCTCTTTAGCTACAGGAAAATGACGTCATGACAACCACGAGAATGAACACGGCACACAAAAACCCTCAGGAGTGAAGAGTGTGTGACGTCAGGGCCAGCGGACAGAGAAACATGTAAGTGCATTTATCTCAAGCAGAGAGATGATCTGAGTCTCACACGCCACTCCAAATCTACACAAACATACGCTTGCACACAAAAATAGTAATCTTTAAACGGATTGGTTTGGCGTACACTACCTCTGTATGTAAGGGCACAAAGATTCTTAGCAGTTCATCTGTGTTTTTGGAGAAAACTATATATATTCTAAAATATTATAGAAAACATTTTATATATACACTACTGTTCAAAACTTTGGGATTGGTAAGATTTAAATTTTTTTTTTTTAAGTCTCTTCTGCTCACCAAGGCTGCATTTCTTTGATCGAAAATACTGTAGTAATTTTGTTAAATATTATTACAATTCAAAATAACTGGTTTCTATGTGAATATGTTTAAAAATGTAATGTATTCCTGTGATCAAAGCTCCAGTCTTCAGTGTCACATGATCCTTCAGAAATCATTCTATATGATGATTTGCTGCTCAAGAAACATTTCTCATTCAATGTTGAAAACAGTTGTGATACATTTTGTTTTTAGGATTTTTTGGTGAATAGAAAGTTTGACAACTGTTTGAACAGTAGTGTATTTTAAAAGTGTATTTTATAAAAAAAGTATTTATACTTTTGGATAAATTCTTCACCATAAAACAAAACAAACTGTTGGTTGCCTGAGTGATTGTTGGCCGGAATAAACTGCAGACATGGCGATAGTTACAGTAAGCGTCGTAGAGAAAGAGGTCGTTGAGCTAAACGTCCCCTGAAGACTGCCGCTCTTGTTTGTTAGTTGGCTACATCATCTTGACATGTAATTACTGAAGCTCTCCTAATCACTGCAGTGCAGATTAATAACAGGGGCTCCTGTGAGGGTCACATGACCACGTCAAAACCCAATCTACACATCCGAGAGAAATCTGCTCGGAAGATCGTATGCCAAATATAAACGCAAAACTGACTGTGAATGCATAATTCAAAAGCACATGGACAGTGCGAGTCATCAGGTACCAGACACTTCTCTTCTCAATAATAATAATAATAAATAAAAAAAGTAGTAATTATTAAACAAGAAAACATATATGAATATTTATGATTGTATACATTTAACAATTACTATTATTATTGTTTTTATTATTGTTGTTGTTAATTAAAGTTGTAATTGTGCTGTTTGCAGCCCTGCATGGCTTCAGAAATATTTAGCATATCCTCCCCCCGAAAAAGGAGAAACCGCAGACTCACCAGCATCTCTTTTCCTCTTTTCTCCATTGGAGCGAGGGATTCCCAGAATGCCGTTGATGGAGTAGGAGCCCACAGGGTCAATGGACGAGCTGGAGACAGGAGGAGACGCTGTACTGGAGACTATAGGAGAGAGAGAGAGAGACGTGTAGAACATCACATCAGAGTCTGCTTACAGGACACAGGTTGATAGCATCTCACTTGCATTTGCTCTGTTTTCCAAGATACACAGTTTCCGTTCAAAAGTTTGAGACCACTAGTGAAAATGTTTTCTAAATGATTGCACTTTTAAGTCAAGTCAAGTCACCTTTATTTATATAGCGCTTTTTACAATACAGATTGGATCAAAGCAGCTTCACAGTGATAACATGAAAATAATACAACAAAGTTTGTTTCTAGAAGAAAATTGCGTCAACGTCCACCTGAAGTAAGGCAGATCAATAATAGTGTTGAATATTAAATGTCCCCAACTAAGCAAGCCAAAAGCCAAGGCAACAGTGGCAAATGTTTCATTACAAATGACACTAAAAACATGACAATTTAAGTGTAAAAATGAACATGAAGCCTGTTTTGCATTAATAGCAGAAACACCTGATGATCATGTTCTCAGCGTGACTTTAGAGCATCTTAACATCTTGAATGGAAATTTGACCATTTACCATTGACACCTAAAATAGTGCAGATTCTTTCATATTTATTTATGTAATGTCATTTAGTCTAAAGTCAAGTCTTGATATTGTGTTTAGGAGGTATTGGTTTGCAACCATAAGCATTTTTAGGTAAAACTAATTTTTAGGCATTAAATCTACAAGATATGCAAAGAAAATAGCTTAGATAGCAAAACAGACTAAGACTATTAGAAATCAATATAGAAAATTCTATATAATGTATACTGTTCAAAGGTTTGTGGTCAATAAGATTGGAATGTTTTTAAAAGAAGTATCTTCTTCTCACAGAGGCTGCATGTATTTGATAAAAAATACAGAGTCATATTGTGCAATAATGTTACAATTTAAAATAGCTGTTTTCTATTTTAATATATGTTAATATGTAATGTATTCCTGTGATAAAAGCTGAATATTTAGCATCATTACTATCACTCTAATATGCTCATTTGCCGCTCAAGAAACATTTATGATTATTATCAATGTTGAAAACAGTTGTGTTGCTTCATATTTGTATTTTTATTATAATAAAATATATAGCCTATTATTTTTAATAATATTATTTATATTTTATTTGATGAATAGACAGTTCAAAAGAACAGCAATGACCTATTTATTGTCAGAAAGTCAAGTTTAAGACAGGTTTAAAGTAGTTTTTGCATTTCACTGCGGTCTCAGACTTTTGCACCCCACTGTATATGATTCAGATATGATTTATATAATGAATAAAAGATTAGCGTGTGTCAGTATTTTCAAACTTAGTAGTAAGAGGGCAAAAGTATTGGAAAAAAATAAGAGGGCATCAGACATTTTTTTCTTTTTTTCTCCAGTTGCAGGTAATATCCCTCTCTGAGGAGAAAGGGTTGGCCCTTGATTTGATTTGGAGGGATGACCTTGTCCAGAAAGGTCCAAAAATGGCCCCTGGAGTTAATGATGTGATCTTACCTATAGTGTGTCCTGGGGTGGAAAGAGACGTCCCATCTGGCGAGGGGTGAAACGGTTGCTGAACCTTTGTCCGAATGATCCTGCACAGTAAATACAGTACATTTACTCACATGAATCTCCAGAGCCAATGCAGTGAGTGTCTCTCTCTCTCTCTGATAATCTCAGATTTACTTTATATATCTCAGCGCAGGGGGGATCCGACAGAACGGATAACCGCAGTCGCTCAGATCCTGTTTACCCGAGTGAGAAGAAGCAGACTCGCTGTAGCTTTAAGGTGAGATATAGCCGAAAGCTCTCTGAGCTCTTTTGCCTTGAGTGATCTCGCAAACAAAGCATGAAATCACAACAATTCACCTCGATAATCGTCCTTACGGCGCTCTCTCTGTGTGCGTGTGGGTCCCGAGGAAAGCCTCAGGCTGGGTTCTAGTGTGGATGAGGTTCTATTGATCTGGACTCTAGGATAAAAAGTTGGGAATTAGCCACATGGGTGCCGGGATGCAAATGGAAAGCTATAAATTATATGTGACAGGAAAGCAATAGTTGCTCAGTGCGGTGTACAAGCTTACGCCAGCATTTGATTCTGTTAATCTGAACGGCACTTTGGGGAAAGGGCCCGCTGTCATGCTCATTTGTAAACTTTAGATCTATTCATCACCGATGGCACCGCTTCTGTTTCAGCACACAGACAAATGCATCGTGTGCATGCAAAAACCATGCTTTTCCTGTGACGTAGCTTTCATTTCATGCCCCATGAAGATTATTGATTGTAAAAATATTTAGAATATACATTGTGACCGCGGATACCATTCAAAGAGCATATATGTTTCCATTAAAACGAGTGTGCTGCTAATATTGATATCTGCTGAAATAAACATCAGCTTTAGGACGTGTCCTCGGGGCTTTGAAATAGAGAGGAAAGAACACGCAGTGACAACATATCGATATTATATTTCATTTCTCTCTTTAAACCCATTGTTTGACCCCCTTGCATGGCCTGGGGAGAATAAATCTGCAGACTTTATCCAGAATCTATGTTTCTCTTATTGAATAAGTCATTTGGAAGAGTGAATTAATGTCTGGGTTGTGTCTGAAAATCCTCTTAAGAAATATTAAAAATGCTTTACGTGTGAATCAATGATATTGAGTGCCGGCGAGGAGGTTTGTATAAGTCCGGCTGTCACTTGTTGGCTGTAGAGACACTTTAGTACATCAGGAACTCTGTAACACTTAATAATGTATGTTAAAGAAAAGTGTTTGGAGTCTGAACATCTTCTCACTGTCAACAGGCTCGGTCTCAGTTTGCACACACACACACACACACACACACACACTGCTTTTTACTTTCATGCAACATTTTTTGCTTTAATGAAGAAAGCAATGAATAAAAAAAGCACAAAAGGTTACGGCCGAAGCTGATTCTCCTCTTGCACGCCACAAACTATTTTCTTTGCAAGTTGCAAGCTTTTGAAGAACTGACTTGAATCCAAATTCCCAAATTATTTGATCTTCTCTCAACGGACTGAGTTTCAGCCTTATTCAGGGATCAATGCATGAGTGTATCAACATATATACTGTTAAATAAAAACAGACTTAAAGATGGAATAAAATGTGTTTCATCAAAGTTCCTTTCAAAGGAGTCGCATTCGCTCGCATTCATATTTTAATTTTCCTCATAAACAAAGACCTGTTTCCTGTTTCAAAATATCCAGACTGAATTCAATTAGATTTTAGAGACGTTTAAGGGCTTCAGTAATTACATTAACGCACATTTTGCATTTATCTCACAAGTTCATGTCAAAAGACATTCAAATGGCCCTTTTTAGGTGACCATGAGGCATGAAATGAATTTTTTTTCCTGCCTTCTCTTCTGTTGTGTGAGGCGCTCTATTCTTTTCCATCGACTCATTAAAATGTAATGCAGAGTCTGGTTTTATGGAAGAGTGAATCTTAACCAAAGTTCAGCGCCTCACTGCTTCTTTTTACCCTTTTGATTTTCCACACAGGTCTAACATACCACCCGAAAACACCAATTTAAGGATGTAAATAGAATCATATTGGATTATGGATTATTTAAACGGCAGATTTCCCATATTGTAGCCTCGGTGGACGTTATCGATCATCATTCCAGTCAAAATTAAAAATAAAACTAAGTTATTTTGAACATTTTCACTCATAGCAGTATTAAAAATGTATTCATTAAGATTTGATTTTCTAGACTATTAATTATGTAAGCATGAGCACATCCTTTAGCCCATATATTTAGTCTCTTAACTGGGTTTTGTGAATGAAAACTGATGAAAAGTTACTTCCAAATGACTGTCTTCTTCTTTGGAAAATAGAAAGGACCGATAAATGACGGCATGAACTCGAATCGAGCAGCTCTGTGTCTCGTTTTCCAGGTCTGATCACCGTTCATTGATCGGTTTTCACTCGGTCAGATGAGATTTGAGAGCTTCAGTCTGTCATTGTTGAGGCAGTTTGGAGCAAAGGGTTGAATTACATCCATAAGACCACCGGCAAAGACACATAACAAACCTCTTTACTGCCAACAAACAGCCTAATATTAACCCAAAACTACTATGTTTATTTTAAAATGACTTCACTCAAAAAAAAAAAAAAAAAATGCTGGGTTGTTTCAACCCCTGTTTGGGTAAAATATGGACAAACCCAACCATTGGTTTCAATATTTTACCAATATTTTAAATTATTGTGTTAGTCCTTATTTGACCCAAACATGAGTTGAAACATCCAGGAATTTTGCAGCATGCCAATTTAGATAAACGTTGTGGAAATAATTGTATATTAAAATAACACTTTTTTACCCCCTTAATGAATGCTGATCAAACTGGGTATAAAAGAGGAAAAGCTGCTCTATTACAGTTTATACTGTTATGTAGGCTATGTTTTTCTTTTTCTTTCCTTTTTTTTTTACATCAATACGTTGAGGGGTGTTAAATGTTAAATTCGTTTTTCATAGAACGTTTCAAATGTCTGCGGTCATTTATATTTTTTTAATTTAAAGGTTTAAAACCATGATTACGAGTTAGTCAAGGTGCGCCAAACAAGCGCTCGCGATGTCGCGTTCACCTGGTAACCATAGCAACCGCTCGTGCACTTTCGGTAGGATCATTATCGGGACACAACACAAGCCTATTGTGAAATAATTTTACTTCAGATTCACACAACAAAAGAATATCACATACATCTTTTGTTTTTGTTAAACATGTCTAAGAGACGCAACATGACTGGCCATCTGAAGTCATTGAGCCAGTGTTATTGTCGGATCTTCTGACCTGTTTATGGAGGAGACGCTGGGAACGGTGTCGTTATCACAGATCCCGTCCGCCAACAGCCTGTCCCGGATCTCCCAGGCGAACATGGTGGGATTCTGTCTTTTATAGTCCGCTATTTTATCCACCACCTTCGGCGTGGCGACTTTGGGTTTGGATCCTCCGATGACTCCGGGCTTGATGCTGCCAGTCTCGTAATATCTGCAGGAACAACTGTAAATCTGACTTTCATAACCTGACCAAACCTAATGACAAAAAACAACAGATGCGTGCTAACAAAGCCATGAAAATGTTTTATCTAAGCTACTTAACACGGCACTAGTAGGAAATTATCATATGATTAGAATACTAATTTAAAAATTTGCGCAGCAGGACATTAAGCAGCCCATCTGTTTTAGTTACTCACTTATTAATCTCAGATAAAAAAAATACATTGAAACGAATTTTACCTATTTTTGCCTGACATTTCAATTTATTATTAAATCCATTATTTAATAAAATAGACAAGCGATGGTTGAACAAACTCATTAGCGTTTGACCTAGAAATAGCCTGAACTAACAAATACATTTGAAAAATTAATTTGATCATTTTAAAGCATTCAAATCAATGGTCAAATAACTTTTTCAGCAGGTGCACATATAGGCCTGAAAGATTTATGAGAACGTTTTTTTTTTTTGTGGACAAAATAATAATAACAGATCTCATAATGATGAGTTTTCAAAGCTCACGAGGCGCTTTAGTTTTTGTTTATACCAAATTGGGGTATAATAATTAGGGAATATGCACACTTTCATGATTCTCAATTCTGTGCTGTTAAAAAAATGCAAATATCCTTACTTTGTTGACAATCATGTGTTTCATGTTCTCAATCTAAAACTATTGCAGCATTTTTGCTAATTCTATATAATTACTATGCATCCAGTGTTTTATGAGCTCATTTCAATTGAGAGACTATGTGAAGCAATTTAATTGTAAATTAGTGACGGCTTGAATACTAACTTGTGACTGGTCACAAAAAATACACGACCTCAACTGATGCGTTGTTGTGAAATGGCTGATTTCTGAGTAAATGTCTCGTGGTCCTGATAGTGTGTACAGGGTCTCACCTGCCCAGGATCTTGCTGACGCAGCCGTGACTGACCCTCAGCTGTCTCGAGATGTCACAGGGTCTGACCCCTTGATGCGCGAGCTCCACGATTCTCTGGCGCACGACGTCAGGTAAAGGCCTTCCGTTGACGAACACCCCGCCCAGCTGGTTCACTCCCCCGTGCCCTATACCGGAGACAACAGCAACAAGCACCCGGAACATAACATTACATACAGGCCGTCGGTGACGCGCGTCACAAGTCCGTCACATTCATCCAATTAACACGCGACGCGTTCGGTGCGGACACGCGCGAGCTATAAACCAGCGTGAAGGTTAACTGCAAGCGAACGCGTTTGTGAGAATGAATTCCCGTCTCTGCTCACATTAAGTTACAGACGCAAACGAATAGCCTATATGCAATGATCTACACTAAACAATCCGCATTATTTCCACAGCGAAAACATGCACAAAACTTATCCTATCATGTAGAATTTTGTATTATTTTGTACTATTATTTCAAACATTAACATGTTTTATGCATAAGTTTAGTTTAGCACATACAAAAAGAGTACTAAACTGTAATTTTACTGTCCCTAAATTCACTATACAGCCTATGTAACACAATGGCGTGAATATAATGACTCTCAGAAACGTTTTTAAGCGTTTCTCAAATAGGGTCGAAAAATTAATGTTTATTTTCTTTTTTTATGGTGATAGGCTACATTAATCTGCTATTCTGGTCGCATGTTCTTGTTGAAACAATACTAGGGTTTGTTACTCGTATAGGTGAGCGATTAAATTACACAAGCATTTATTGTTTTCATTCCCTAGATGTAAATTATTAAACAGTTTTGTTTGATCAAATTACATATTGTTAATCTCTATTAGTTGCTTTAAAAAAACATTACATTTTAATGAAATTAGAAGTGCATATAGCTATAAGCATGTACATTTTATAATAGTTTTTTTTTAAATAATCAATAATATTTTCTACTGTAAAGCGAATGGAATTATCCGAATATCCTCGCAATATTTTTGCTTTTTTATTTCTTGCATTCATTTTTTTGTATATAATAACCATAGTTATATTTTAATTTTCTCATCACACAAATGCACGCATATTTTGATTATTAACCGAGTTCTTTGTTTCTGTTTTATACCATTATATTTATGATGATCTTATTTTTCCTGAAATGCAATATAAGAAGAGTGCAATTTTGTATCCTCCTTTAACCCAGGAGCATAATCATTTCTTCTATAATTGGCCTTTTTTTTGTTGCGTTCATTTGTTTTTGTAAATAATAATCATATACATAACAATACGCACATCGCATATTTTACTTTTAATTTTGATTAGTAACCGAAGTCCTTTATTGTTTCTGTTGTATAGCTACTATTTTAACTATTACGCCAATCTTATTTCTCCTGAAATGCAATATAAGAAGAGTGCAATTTTGATCCCTGTTTAAAATCCAGTAGTCTAATAATTTCTTATTCCAGTGACGATGTTAATTGTCTGAAATGTGAGAAGCATATTCTCCAGATAAACTCCAGTGTAACTCACGGTGCATGGCGGAGAACGGGTCTGCCTTACAGTGAATATCCATCGGATAACCGAGAAAAGAGCGATAATCAACTGAAGTCGCCGTCTCGTCTTTCTTACACAGAGAACAACTGAAAGAAACGAGGATGTAACGTGAATCCAGCCGAGGAGAGGGGAACTTCGGAAAGTTGCAAATGGACGCAGGATTTGTCAGGTGTCAGGCATGACCGTGTGTTCTAGCTCAGAACAAAGTGCTGTCAAAGCAGGAACTGTTTAAATGTTTTCAGCATGCATGCTTTCCCCAGAACTCATTTCCCAGCGTTCGTCCCATCCATCCGCGTGTTAGTGTGTCTTATATCCCGGTGGTCTCGGGTAGCAGGTGCCGTTCTGCGCATGGATGACAGACAGCAGAAGCATCGGAGACTGCGGGTTTCCTGTGCCCACCTTTCCCTTTCCTTTTCCCTTTCCCTCAGTAACAACACGACGCGTTTGCATGCGCACACGGCCCGGGACTGAAGGACTTGGGTCGCTTGTGTTGGTTTGTAAAAGCTCCAGCCCCCTCCTTTACGCGGACCCCCTTTCGCCACTATGGGTGAGTGTATCAGACAAAGGCAGTAGATTCCAGCACTTTGTGATTCGCTCAGATGAAGCTCCATCCGCCTGTCACTCCGAAAGGGGAGGGAGGAACTCTGCCTCCGAGTGAAGGAGAGTTTAGTGGAAATTGAGCGAGGATGAGAGCAAATCATTTGATTTTTTTGTGATAATAGTTTGAGACAAGAATTCGGAATTGCGAATGTTATCGATAAATTATATCAATTCAAATAACGAGGTTGGTATAGTGACAACACACAGGTAATCGCATGCGTAAAACGTGCGCATTTGAATGAACATTGTCCCCTTCAGCCGTAACACTCGCAGATGTGGCCTGCGGGATATAATACTATAGGCCTGAGCTATGCTGGAGAAGCCCAGCTCTAATGTCATTATGGAGAGGTCGATGTGTGATTATGGTTTGATTTAAACACCATCTTGTTTTGGTTTGCTGTGTTCGTCTCTGCGGTGAGCGGCTCTGGATCGGGAACTCTAGGTGGCGCTATATCGTCTCTCCTGACACAGCAAAACTATATTATATTATTAATCGCGATTAATCGCGTCTAACATAAAAGTTTGTGTTTGCATAATATGTGTTTGTGTATCATTTAAAAACTGTACTTTGCATATATATGCACACACACACACACACACACACAGACATTATTCTCTTCTTCTGTAGCTATTCTTTTCTTGATTGCAAGATTCCTCTGTATTGATGTTCATCCGTCTAACTAGTTTCTTCTAAATCAGTAACAGACTTTGTTTTTTTAGTTTTAGGTGCAATCTATTTTCATTTAAATATTATTATATAATTATTGTTCTGCAATTACATGTCCTTTAGAAAATGCAAATGTATGCAGATTTGATTATATTAATATAGTAATATATTTTTGGTCACAGAAAAAGAAATGACGTCTTCGAGATACACCTGGAAACAAATGGACAGAAAACATGAAAACTAAACTTCTGCAGATGCGACGCGTGATCTTTCAGCTGCTTGCTTTAGTCAGTCAGTGAATACAAACTCTCACTTTTTTAAATAAGTTACCTTATTTGTAGGTAGCCTATATTTTACGTTAAGAAAAAAAAAGATATATGTAGGTTTAGTGTTGTCCCGATGTTGTTCCTTTAATTAATAACAGGAGAGAATCGCTTTATTTGTGATCTGCAATAAAACCAAAATTGCAGATGGTTTTTTTTATTTTTTTTTATGGGTGTCATTCTTAAATAAATAAATAATAAATAAATAAAAATTGAATTTGTGTGTGTGTGTGTGTGTGTGTGTGATACATTATTTAAATAAAAATGTAATTTCAAAATTAGGAAGGGTTAAACTGAAAATATAATTTTATTTGAAATATTAATGCACACAAAATTACCTCATACAATATTTAACAATATGACAGTTATAAAAAAAAAATATATATATATATATATTGTATGTTTACTTATTGATATATATAGTGTTTTATAAACAAAGACTGAAATACTACCATGCCACTATAAAGAGTGTCGCAAGCGTCGGTCGTGTGTGTGTTTTGGACGGGTCTCGGAGGGGCTCAGCTCGGCTATCTGCCTCTAGTTAGGTTAGAGGATGATTTTTCTTTCTCCTGGTGTTTTTGGAGGAGCTTCTGGTACAATATGTAGCACTGCGGGCTCTAATTTCACCCTCCGCTGCACAGCTTCCCCAAAGCTAGGGTTTTTCTCCGAGACCCCTCCGCCTTCCCCTGCCCTTCTGCTCTCTGCGCTTTTGCTTTTTTGTAGACTTCTAAAATTAAGTGTTAGTGTTTTTGTCACCCTTGGAGAAATTTCACACCGAATTTGAGCAGACATTGTAAATCATAGCAGGCGTTATGTATTTGAGTCCGTCAGGGTTTTAGAAGCCAAACAAATGTATGTTCTTGTTAAAAGCATTCAAACAGACTAATAGATCTATTACAAATAAACACATATTAAAAATAAATATATAAAGCAAGTTAGCCTAAATATGTACCAGTTTAATATCACTCTATAAATGCAACTTCATGTAGCCTAGGCCTAAAGCCTATCCGAAAGCTCTGATAATCCCACCTTGAAAGTTTACACGCGATGCGAAGTCAAATGTTTTTTAAAAAATCAAACATATTGGGTCTTGATTTCATTAGGGCCTGCGAGCTGACAGTGAGTAATCCATCTTCTCTCCTGCGAGCTCCTCCAAACACAGACAGAACCGAACCGCGCGCACACACACACACACACACACACACACACACAGCGCGCACGCATCCCGAAGATGAATCTCTGTGTTCCGGATCTCCTCTGTTCTCCCGTGTCGTTCTGTGAGTGTGAGCATTGATGAAGCTCATTTCTTCAGAGGTGAAGATGTTTCCTCCTTCTCTCAGCCTCCCGTTCTCATGGTAACGTCACTGATCGATCCGAGCGCGAGCACTTCATTACGGAGCATCAGAGGAGATCTGACTCCAAAACACACACACTTAGCCTCTTTGAAACTCTGTTAAGCTCTATCATTATAGTTATGCATGCCATCTTATGTTTTGGTGGCGAAGAGTTACTATTCGTTACTATGTCCTTTTAAGTTTACAACGTTAGCTTAATATCATATGACTCGCCATACGCATATCTGTTTATATAAACGCTATGCCAAAAGTCATAATATACAATATAACTGTATATCAAAAAAATATATATTAATAAAAGATAAATTCTTAGATATAAATAGATTTAAGATCTTTTCGAGTTTTATTCCCTTTGTAATTTATGATAACAATTCGTTAATTTATTTATAAATTGTATTAATGTGTTTATTTTATGAAATATCTTAGTGACAGATATTCCACAATAAATTAACAACGTTTCTGGGGTTTTGGCTAAACAAAGACCTTTTTAAACTTTGAAGTGATATTACAATTTTTTTAACAAATGAAACCCCCACTTGCCATACAATAAAACGCTTGGCACAAAAACATAGCCCATAATAAAACCCATAAGCTCAAAGAGGAAAGTGTAGAATGAAGGGACTTGGCCCTTGAGCTCGTGTTGTGAGGGGACAGATGGAGGCTTCACGCGAGAGATTGATTCTGCGCGCGCTTTTAATTTCGACATAATTAATTAGATCATTACAACAGTTTTCCATTGATCTTGCCATTTAAGCCCAAAATTAAAAGGTGAATCGGTTAGCTGTTAGATATATGTTGTCTATTAAAAAAGGCATATTAGTAAAGCACGCGCGCACGCACACACACACACGCATCATGCGTACGCGACCTAAATGCTATGCCACACACACACACACAGACACACACACACACACACACATATATATATATATATATATATATATATATATATATATATATATATACACTACCAAAACATATTAATGTGACGAATAATGTGATTTATGGCAAACTTCATTCATTAATTCATTTCCTATATTATGAAAAATTATTTTGTTCTAATATTCAGCGGAGTTTGCAATCTTACAACTTTGTAAAGGAATAAGGAAATGTATGAAAGTATGTGAAATTGTAAACAATAATGATGATGATAATAATTAGCCTATTATTATTAAGCCTGCTCCTGATCAATAAAAAGTTGAACTTGTTACAACACTTTATAATGAACGTATTTTATTCCTCCATATATTTAACATGCAGCGGTGAGTGTTTTGTCGTGAGGAGTGTGTGTGTGGTCCGCGTGCGTCGACTAACATTCACAGGCTATTGAAAGTTACTGCCTCCATGAAAAGCATACAAAAATTACACTGCGAAATGAAGGTTCAATATTTAACTTTACTACTGTTCAGCCCACGTTTTAGATCATAAACCTGATTTTGCAGAAATATGCCTTTTAGAGCCCAGTCGTAAAACGCAACACGCTGAAAATATAAATTAGAAAACGAAATGAGAAATTCTTCACAGATGAAACAACAGCAGGATGACGATTCTGTCTCTCCGTCCCTCCTTCTCGCTCTCTTTTATGTCTTTAATACTCCAAATCATAGTAGCCTAATAAAACCTGGTAAAATGTGTCTATGAATATAATATAATATGTATGTGCTTATTTTCTCATTTTGTGACATGTTGGGCATGTAGAAAAACTTAAAATAACTTTTAAATAATAATAATAATAAATGATAATAATCATATCAATAAGAAGAAAACAAACAACTATGTAGTGTAACTTACAGCTCGTTTTTTTAAATCTCATCCCAAGTGTCCCACAGGCTAATAATCAGGTTAATCTGATATGAAACACACGCGGGAGGGAACATCCAGCACATTAGAGTCAGTGGTTCATACAATATGCAGATTTAGAAAGAATTCCTAAATGTGCCCTGAAGTGTTTAAATATAAATAGTGTTGGGGTTATGCCTGGGTTTTTCATTGCTGCTGTCAAGGGAAAATGGAAAATTATAAGTCCTTAAACCGTTCACGCTTTACTGGTCAAATTTGTCTCTCATCAGAAGTAAAAAAAAGTGTTCTTGTAAAATGAGCAGATCTATTCTTTGCATATCTCAAATCAGACATTAGATTAAACGGCTCTGCGTTTTATTAGACACTAGTCTCTAGCTAATGGTCTCAAGTTTGAAGATGGTGACAGACCAGTTTTCCCAGTGCATGCCCTAAAGCAGGTCCATAGTGTGTGTGTGTGTGTGTGTGTGTCACACAGCTGCGCTGCTCTGAAGCGACAAAAAACAGCTTTTTTGCACCCCGGTGCAATATGGGAACCAGCCCGTCTGTCCAAGTCGGCCCTTGGGCACAATCTCTCATCCCTGCGGCCCCGTGGCCCCGTGGATCACACACACTCTCTTCTAGAGCCTGTAGTTATGCTAATGCGCTCATCATTTATCCGGA